TAGCATACATAATATATTCAATATCTTCCTAGTAGCATACATAATATATTCAGCATCTTCCTAGTAGCATACATAATATATTCAATATCTTCCTAGTAGCATACATAATATATTCAGCATCTTCCTAGTAGCATATATATTATATTCAGCATCTTCCTAGTAGCATACCTAATATATTCAATATCTTCCTAGTAGCATACATAATATATTCAGTATCTTCCTAGTAGCATATATAATATATTCAGCATCTTCCTAGTAGCATACATAATATATTCAATATCTTCCTAGTAGCATATATAATATATTCAATATCTTCCTAGTAGCATACAAATTATATTCAATATCTTCCTAGTAGCATACATAATATATTCAATATCTTCTTAGTAGCATACATAATATATTCAATATCTTCCTAGTAGCATACATAATATATTCAATATCTTCCTAGTAGTATACATAATATATGCAGTATCTTCCTAGTAGCATACATAATATATTCAATATCTTCCTAGTAGCATATATATTATATTCAGCATCTTCCTAGTAGCATATATATTATATTCAGCATCTTCCTAGTAGCATGCATAATATATTCAGCATCTACCTAGTAGCATACCTAATATATTCAGCATCTTCCTAGTAGCATGCATAATATATTCAGCATCTTCCTAGTAGCATACATAATATATTCAATATCTTCCTAGTAGCATACATAATATATTCGACATCTACCTAGTAGCATACCTAATATATTCAGCATATTCCTAGTAGCATATATAATTTATTCAATATCTTCCTAGTAGCATACATAATATATTCAGCATTTTCCTAGTAGCATATATAATATATTCAGCATCTTCCTAGTAGCATACATAACATATTCAGCATCTACCTAGTAGCATACTTAATATATTCAGCATCTTCCTAGTAGCATATATAATTTATTCAGCATCTTCCTACTAGCATACATAATATATTCAATATCTTCCTAGTAGCTTACATAATATATTCAGCATCTTCCTAGTAGCATATATAATTTATTCAGCATCTTCCTAGTAGCATACATAATATATTAAATATCTTCCTAGTAGCATATGTATTATATTCAGCATCTTCCTAATAGCATACATAATATATTCAGCATCTTCCTAGTAGCATGCATAATTTATTCAGCATCTTCCTAGTAGCATACATAATATATTCAATATCTTCCTAGTAGCATATATATTATATTCAGCATCTTCCTAATAGCATACATAATATATTCAATATCTTCCTAGTAGCATATATATTATATTCAGCATCTTCCTAATAGCATACATAATATATTCAGCATCTTCCTAGTAGCATGCATAATATATTCGACATCTTCCTAGTAGCTTACCTAATATATTCAACATCTTCCTAGTAGCATGCATAATATATTCAGCATCTACCTAGTAGCATACCTAATATATTCAGCATCTTCCTAGTAGCATGCATAATATATTCGACATCTTCCTAGTAGCATACCTAATATATTCAGCATCTTCCTAGTAGCATACCTAATATATTCAGCATCTTCCTAGTAGCATACCTAATATATTCAGCATCTTCCTAGTAGCATACCTAATATATTCAGCATCTTCCTAATAGCATACATAATATATTCAGCATCTTCCTAGTAGCATACATAATATATTCAGCCTCTTCCTAGTAGCATATATATTGTATTCAGCATCTTCCTAGTAGCATACATAATATATTCAGCATCTTCCTAGTAGCATACATAATATTTTCAGCCTCTTCCTAGTAGCATATATATTATATTCAGCATCTTCCTAGTAGCATATATAATATATTCAACATCTTTCTTATTCCAGTTAACATTTTTACATTTTACAAAAAAAATCATAACTTTTTTCAGACATAAAAGTAAAATGATTAAAAACATTGTAAAATACGCTATTTTCAAACTTTATGATCGCGATTGATTAAAGCACTTTTTAAAGTACAGCTTTCGATTGTAAATACATTTTTAAAACTTTCAGAACATTGAAAAAAAGAATAAACCACCGAAGAATTTTCAATGAGACACTAGGTCGACTTTCAAGTGTCTCAAAATCTTTGCCTTTGATTTCACCTCACCATTTCACTCATATTTTTGTAGACTTAGTCACGTAAATTTTATAACGAAAAAGCACTTGTTCTTAGATTTAGACGTAAAATTCAAAATTCTCTTCGATTTATGCGTAAGAGCTTGCAACTGTTGGATCACTAAGTCGAAAATTGTTACAAAATTAAAAGTTTTTACGTTGACAATAGTAACGACTGCACCATATTAATCATCTCAGCTTCTAAAAAATTAATTTAGACAATGTCTGTATGAAAAAAAAACATTTAAATTCTTCTGAACAAATTGTGATAATATCTTTTATGTAATGAATAACATGAGGCGGGGACACAAGTATTGTTAATATCACATTTCTTTTAGAAAATAATAAAATTAGGCAGACCACATTTTGAAAATCCTATT